ATCATGATCAGTCTTATGTCATGAGGTCTCTGCCATCATCAGGACTAGGGCTGGAGTAGAAAGACGGGGGATAGGCTGTAATACAGGCGTAAAGTATAGGCACTGTTGTCCTCGTCATCTTCACTGTGGTCACCACATCAAGGCTAACATCTGCCTCCTGTATGCCCTGTGCTGTTCTACTCACTGGGTATTTGCTCTCTCTCTCTGGATCGTCCCAACATCCATGAGGAGGGTGCTATATTCATCCTATTTCACAGCCAGGGAAACAAAGGCACAATTAACTCAAGTGACTTGCCCAAGATCACCCAACCAGTAAGAGGTGGGGCCGGCTCTGGCCTGTCAGTGGGACCTTGACCCAACCTCTGAGTTTGGATGGGGTGCAGTGAGGTGGGTGGAGAGGAATGGGGAGGGGTGGGACCCCTTTGAGATCTCAGCCCCTGGGCACTGGTTTCACTCCTGACACCTTCTCAGGAGGTATGTCTACAGCCAAGAGCTTTAATTAGTCTTGACTGGAAGATGGACTGAATCCTGAATGGAAGCTGACAGAAAGAGAGCCCCACATTCTTGGCTCACCTTGTAGTAAGAATCTGAAAGCCCATTGATCTGTTTGTGGTTTGTCAGTCTCTTGCCCACTTCTGTGGTCTTTAAGACAACAAGACCCTGATGGGCATGTCAGCCTTTACCAAACCCACAGGTTTCCTAGTGGGATGGTTGCCCAGTGTCCCCCTCACGGGGGCTTGTCGGTGTCACACAGGGAGCGTGGGAACCTCAGCTGCTGCTGGGGTCAGGGTGGAAAGTACCACCACTCCAGAAAGCCACGGGGCAGGTTTTATAAAGTCCACGTGCATCTTGTCTATGACCCAGCAACCCCACAACTAGGCATTTATCCAGGAGAATGAAAACATGCATCCATCCAAAGGTGCGCGTGAGTGTTCATAGCAACTGTATTCACAGTTGCCTCAAATGGGGACAACCCAAATGCCCATCAAGCAGGCGAGGGGACAAGCAGATGGTGCACACATGCACGCACGGGATATTCCTCAGCCATAAAAGAACAGCCGACAACTCACACGACAGGAACGGATCGCAAAAGCATGGTGAGCTGAAGAAGCCAGCGTAGAAGATTACATAGCGTCTGATCCCATTTACAAGAAATTCTAGAAGAGCGAAAACTGATTCGTGGCGTCAGAAAGCAGAGCAGTGGTTGCCCAGGGTGGGGGTTGCTAGGCGGTACTGGGTGGAAGGATAATGTAGGAATTTTCTGGGGTGCTGGGAATGCTCAGTATCTTGATGGGGGTGATATTTACATGGTGTATTTTTCAAGATTTATAAACACTGCCCTTAGAACCTTTGCATTTCAACTTCACTCTATGTAAACTATACTTTGAAGAACAAAACATAAAGGAAAAAGAAAACAGAGAGAGGAAAGGAAAAGGGGGGGAGCGGGGAGGGACAGAGGAGGGGAAGAAATAGACCCAAGGCAGATCTGAGTCTCAGGACAGCTCTGGGACCACCTTGGGTTGGTGTGAGACCTGTCTGCCCCCAGCTGACCCAGGAGTTCCTGTGCTGTTTTTCCAGGCCTGGCTTGGAATCACACTCAGGGGAGAGCCATTCCTGAGTGTCTGCAGCTACTTGGGATAGACAGCCGGGAGAGAAAAGTGGTTCTGCCAGAGGGAGGCTTCTGTGACCTGAGGGTGCAGCCAGGACATGGGGAGCTGCAGCCCCCTCTCTGCAAGCCCACTGTGCTGTGCAGATGTCCTGGGCTATGTTTATACCCCGGACAAACAGGCAGGCACTGCTGGCTCTATGTTAAGCCCTTTCCCCATTGCCCTGTACCTTCCCCATGCACACCTGAGCCAGGTAAGGAGTGAATCCTCAGTGGGCTGATTCCTTTGCCATCAGGAAGTGGTATCCTGGCCAGGCATTTAGAGCGGACAGCTGGGGTGGGATGGCTGGGGCAGTTCATTTCTGCTAGGAGCTGCTCTGCGGTGTAATTTTGAAAACTTTGTGTGTATTATCTCTTTTGACCCTGAAGGATAAGTCTAGGCATCCTCATCCCCTGACGAGGAGGCTGTGGATTCACAGGTCAGGTGACCACTCAGGGTCACAGCAAGGTCCACACCACGGTCATGGTCGGTAAGGCCACGATGACTCTGGTCCGAGATGTGGGTGTGAGCAGCCATGTGGGTGGTGAAGGTGTGGGATTCTTGGTGGCTTGGAGTGTTCTCCCTGCACCCAGAGGTGGCCTTTTTTCCTTCCGGTGAAAGTGGTTACCCTGCAGGAAAACCTGCTCTTCTGAGAGCACTCGCTGACCTGGAGAGCACATTGGAGGTCTGGCCAGGCAGAGCCTCCCAGGAACCCGACAGCAACTCCTTGCTTCCTGAGCAGGGACAGAGCTGTTTGCCCAGAAGCACAAACACAGAGCCTTGCCATCTGAGGCCATGGGAGAGCGAGAACAGGTCCCCACTGTGCGCACAGCCAAGGGGACGAAGACAAAAGAGGGAAATAAGACATCCAGCAGACTAGTTGCTGAGCCGGTAACCAAACTCTTGATTCAGGTATTAACAGAGACTGGAAACACTTGGATTCTTCCAATTTTACTTAGAAGCCAAGTATGTTTGCATCCGGGGAACAAACATAAATCTTTCTTCTGATAAAGGAGGAAATTAGCCAGTGCAAAAAGAAAACGTTTTCCCTTATCTTGGATCACACTTGGAGAGACTCTGACGAGACAGGAATGAAGGGGCTCCCACACCCAGAGCTGCATCCAGGAGAGAGCCAATGGGGCCCCAAGACAGAGGGCGCAGCGGGGACTCGTGGGAAGTAGACCCCACAGGCAGATCCCTTCACAGGACCTTGGGAGGTCACATTGCCTGTGTTGGAGGCATCATAATGACATTGCTAAGTCTGGTTCTTCATACCATTCCTGGATATAAATGATTATTTCAGAAGCTATTGTGAAATTTCCTCAGCAAAACTGGTTTCACTTTGCTCTAATTTCAGAAACGAGGGCCCTGTGTTTCAGTGGGGTTGGCCTGCCTTGTGTTGCTCACAGCAAATCCACATGCCTTCCTGCTACTTGATCAGTGATCTGGCCTTGTGAGCCAGGGTCCCGACAGCATCCACCTCTCAGCCGCTCCCACTCGGGGAGCAAGTCCTGCCGGACCCATCAGAGATGCAAATAAAGTTTCAAGCATAAAAAACGCGAATGCATTGTTACTTAAAATAAGGAACAAGAGGAGGAACCTCGTTCCTATAAATAGAGGAAACATTGACTGTGGCTCATTCACAAGACGGATTGTTGGGGAGCTGCAGAAATGATGTTGGAGGAATTATTTTTATCACAAGAGAGAGACATTCTCACAACACGATTTTTAGTGACAAGTACATACACGGATGGTCTACACTGAGCATCACACCCAAACAGGCCCGTTGTCTTCGGGTGGGTTCATGAGAAATCTCACCTCCATGCCTGATCTTCACACTCTGTCCCAGTTGTCTGAAGTCATCGTCTGTTACTTTCATGATCAGAAACACGACGTGGTGAAGACAGACTGGGTCCGTTGGCCAAATTCCCTTCTTTACTTTGGCCCCTCCTGGCTCTCCCCGACCCCCGTCTTTGGTGGGGTTGAAAACAATGTCACGAATGGCATTTTGGAATCGACGTTGGAAGCCTCCCACCTCCATTGCTCCAAACTATCGATAGGCAATTTCTTTTCTCTTTCCCCCTTGCCCCCTCCTCTGGATGGTCATTCGATCTGGGATGCGGTGATTCCATGGCGGGCCTCCCTCCGGGACCTGGCTCAGTGGGCTGCCCACCTTCACCTCTGATCGTCAGGTGTTAGTCCAAAGGCAAACGCCAGGGCTGGCTCAGGGGCCCTGACTGGTGATTCCGCATTTCCGAGACCAACGGGAAGCAAAGCCGACCACTCTGGATGGGGCTCCGGGCACACAGCGGGAGGTGGTGCCCCCCGCGTTGGATTCCTCTGGCATTCGCCCTCCTCTGGGGTCTCTGTCAGAACCCCAAGCTCATAGCCTTCTAACTGTGTGGGGTGTTTGCTTTGTGTGCGGTTTCCCTCGGGAGAGTCTCGTCTAGACCCACTGCCTCAGTGTGCGAGGGCTGCCGGGGCGAGTACCGCCAACTGGGAGCTTGAACAGCAGGCGTTTGTTTTCCCGCCCACGGTCCTGGAGGCTGGAGGTCTGAGATCAAGGTGTTGGCAGGTTGATTTGTTCTGAGACCACTCTCCTTGGCTTGAGAAGAAGCATTTAACTACTGTGTCAGACTGACCCCCTCATTTCACACATATTCATCTGTGTGTATATTTAACAAACAGTTTTCAAGACCTGCCCAAGTCAGGGACACCAGCAGCCAGGCATCCATGCCAACTGGGATGAGGCATGGCCCAACCCCTCAGATTTCAGATTTTCAAAATATTTATATGTTTCTGTCACCCAGCCTAGACTCACTGAACAGTCTATTAATATATATTATAGTGTATTTTATTTTGAATCATATAGCTCCATCCACAGAACCTGTCCTAACCCAAATTGCAGGAGGGGATTCTCTGATGGGTAAATTTGGGAGCAGGCTGAGCTTCTTGTCTTTGCTTCTGCATTTGCCTGCCCACAAAGGGCGTTTGTTGAGATATGCTCCATTGAGTGTGAGTTTCCCTGGGGCATTTGAGAGGGGCAAATTCAATCTGGGGAGCTCATTATGGTTGTCCATGGACAGCAACCCACTAACGAGCATTGCCTGGGATGACCAGTCATCCCTTTGTGTATTTTTGCTTTGGAAGTATGAAACTTAGGATGGTTTTGACTGCAAGTAACAGAAGATCTGACTAAGGGAGTGTACACAGTAAGATGTTTGTTATCCCATAAAACAAGAAGTCAAGGGGGTGGGTGGCGCCAGAGTCTGCTAATGCAGCATCATGGTGACATTATGAAAGCCCAGAATGTTTGCAGTTTCCACCCTGCTATCAGCAGCAGAGCAGGCACGTTGCACTGCAGGGATGGAGAATGGCCAGAGAGATTCTGGGCCTCACGGGCAAACGTGGGCCCCCAGCCATGATTCTGTTTTTTCTTAAATGCTTATTCTCTCAACTCTACCAGCCACACCTCAGCACCTAAACCAGTCCTTGACAAGAGAAAGGACTGGCTCAGACCAACCACATTTCAATTCTAGGGGAGAGAAAGCCTCCCTACCCTCTGAGCAAGTGGCTGTGGAGAGCTTTGCCGCAGGAAGAAGTGGAAGTGACCATTGGGAAGGAAACCACCAGTGAAGCCCAAGGAGAAACCCGGTGTCGTGCTCTGGCCTCAGAAACAACATAGAAACAGGTGAGTGGGTGAAGCAAAAGCCTTCAGGGTTGAGTTTTTCCTTTAGGATTTGGGTCTGGGATTATGACCTGAGCTTTTAAGGGTTTGACACTGACCAAAGGCTCGCCTGTTTCAGAAAGCACATGCAGTAATCAGGTTTCTGTCATTTTCAACCCAAAGAATCTAGCTCACAACAATGTGGTCAAAAGGGACACCTGCATGGATGTCACGGAGTCCAAGGAGCAGTCTTGGGCTTGTCCCTGGGGTGGTGGGGACTAGAAACAGGGTTTTGTTGCCATCCAGCTAATCTTTTGTTTCCTGCTTGCATTCTTCTTGACTTCATTCTCTCCTGTGTGAGATGAGTTTCATCGTGGTCTAAGGAACAGAAGAGCCTGTGGCCTGTGAACCCATTCTTTCAGCAACTTCCCCAGATGCAGGAGGTTCTCGCTGCACGAGTGTCCCAGGGTTGCTGTGATGAAGCGTGGCAGACTGGGTGGCTCAGAGCAACACCATCTATTCTCCCCCAGTCCTGGAGGCTGAAGCCTGAGGTCAAGGTGCTGGCAGCTTTGTTCCTTCTGAGGTCTGTGAGAGAGAATCTTTCTCAACCTATGAAGGTTTGCCAGTAGTCTTTGGAATTCCTTTGCTTGTGGACGTATCTCCTGGATCTTGCTTCATCTTTTTATTTTTATTTATTTTATTTTTTTATTTTTTAAGATTTTGTTTATTTATTTGACAGAGAGAGACACAGTGAGAGAGGGAACACAAGCAGGGAGAGTGGGAGAGGGAGAAGCAGGCCTCCCACCGAGCAGGGAGCCCGATGCGGGGCTCGATCCCAGGACCCTGGGATCATGACCTGAGCCAAAGGCAGATGCTTAACCGACTGAGCCACCCAGGCACCCCGATCTTGCTTCATCTTTACATGGCATTCTCCTTGTGTGTGTCTCTATGTCCCAAATTTCCCCTTTTGTTAGGACACCCAGTGGATTGGATTAAAGGTTCACCGTGCTCCAGTATGACCTCATTTGACTTATTACATCTGCAATGGCCCCATTTTCAAATAAGGCCATGTTCTGAGGTGCTGGGGGTTAGGACTCCAACACAGGATTTTGGCGGACACAGTTTGGCCCATAACACACTCCAATAGGAACATTCCCCAAAAGAACTCTTACTGGCATTGTGTACTCACTCTCATCATCAGGGGATCAGCGTCTTTAATAGGGGGTTCAGGAGCAGTGTTCAGGGAAAAATAAAGCACCAGATATTGGTGGACACCTGGAGGCTATCCATCCACAGAGAGAAACTTTTCCAACCACCTTTGTGAGAGCAACCAGAATTTCATGTAGACCATGACCCTCGACCTTTTCATGGCTGATGTACAGAGGGTCACCTCTCTTGTCACTCTTGGCAACACCAGGAATCTGGGCTGAGGTCTCAGCTGGAGTCAGAGATGGAATCGACAAGCCCACCACATCATTTAACTGGTGACTTCCTAGCATGAGGGTGGAAATACAGGGCCAGACCCCTTAGCAGGCAGGGTGACAGTCTTATCATCTAGCCTAAGAGGAGAATGGAGGGTCTCACCAGCAGGTGATGAGCCAGGAATGGTGCAGAGTCTCCTCTACGTTGGTCTGGGAGTCTGCTTCACCTGAATTGCTCTTTAAAAGTAGAGGTGTTTGGACCTATCTGCAAAGGTTTGCATTTAGTACCCAAGGCCCAGACAATGGTAGCTTTTGAACCCCTCCAGGTGATCCTGGAGCTCAGCCAGGTTTGGGACCTGCTGATATCCCAGAACAGCCATGGGCTTTGGGGTCAGGAGGCCCGGGAGGACATGCACTCTTCCTCTTCCTAGTTTTCTGATCAGCAGGCCAGCAGCATGCCTTCTGTGGCTTCTACCATTTGCTGATTCCCTTGTATGCCTCAAGCCCTTTACCCCCTCCCAGCAATGCTGCAGAGAAGGTATTGTTGACAGGCCAAAGGACACAGTCATTGAAAATGTGGTCCGGACTTGCACGCTGGCTTAGTGTGTGACCTTGGGCAAGTTCTCTTAACCCTCGTGCTTTGTTTTTCTCATTTGTAAAATGGGAATCATAATAGTATTTGAAACATTGGGTTATTTTGAAGATTAAATGCATCTGTATTTCATTTGGGATAGAGCCTCAGTTAATTTCTGCTATTCCACATTTATTTATTCCATGTTTTGTGTGTGTGCATGTGTCCACCTGCCAAGCTCTGTTCCTGGTGCAAAAGATAGTCATGAACAAGAGACACAAATTCCTGCTTTATGGGGTTTATGTTCTTTTAAGGGGAGGCAGAAGATAAACAACGTAAAGGAAAAATACACAGTGTTGTAAATGTTACCAGTGCTGCAGGAAAATCACACGTGGAGGGGCACAGACACTCCAGTGCAGGTGGGGCTGGGCACAGAGCTGCAAATGCATGGGGTGGTCAGGGGTCGGGGCAGGGTACATTATGCTAAATGACAACACCCAACACCACAGAGATTTATTTCTTATTTGCTCTATGTATCCACGCATGTGGGTCCTGCTCTGTGTCATCATCCCTCCAGATCCAGAATCATGTTGTTTTCTTTCTCTGGGACATTTTTGGAATCATGGCAGTGAGAAAAGGAAAGAGCACTTGGTATGCTGGCTTTGAAAGCCCCCTCTCAGACAGAAAATGAGTTGCTACAGCTCTCGCTTCTTTGGGCAGACAGACGTGAGGCTACCCTGGTATTAGAGAGGGCAGGGAAACCCCCTCCTTGCCCAGGGAGGGGCAGCTAGTCCTGTGGACCATGACACAGTCCATTAGGGCTGTTTGAAGACAGTTCTAAAGGAGGTGGAGTCATGAGCTATTTTATAATTGTAGAAACTGAGGCACGCTGAGGTTGAGTGACTTGCTCAGGGTCTCTTGGCTATGATTGTTGGTGATGGAGCCTCAGGTAGAACCTGTGTCTTCTGCCTCTGGAGTTGGGTCGTTAGCTTTCATGGTACCCTGAACATCCTGAGCCTCGGTGTCCTTATGCGTAAGATGGGCTAGCCACGATGACCCTGTGGGGCCGTGGTGAGGATGGAAGGCACGGTCACACAGGGCACCGCCTGGGAATTTCCTCTTATTTTTTTAAAGTGTTCCCTTCAACATGGATCTTGTCTCTGAGAATGCCAGGGTTTGGTATGGTTGGCTCAGTTGTCTCCACCTCCTGCCCAGCCACCACACAGGCCACATGGAAGCTTCTCACTCCTCCACACCAGCTGGTCCTTCCTCTGCACCCAGGCTGAGCCGGGTTCTCAGCACAGCCTGCACACAGGACTGGTTGACAAGAGCCAGTGGACTGGCTTCCTGGAAGGGGCCACATGATGCCGACTGCTGGCATGCCTGCAGAAGTCTGGTGGGCTTTGGGCTCCAGGCATGGGGCAGGCAAAACAGAGGAAGTAGAGGTGTCCTCCCCTCCACTCATATTCCCGAAATAGTTGCAGCTGTCAGGCGTCCAGAGCAGCTATCCCAGAGCCTGGCTCACTGATGGGTCTCCTGTTCTCTCCCGTACTCCGTCTCCCACCCTCCACAATTATAATTTGCCTGGGAAACTCTCCATCCTAACTCTGCTTTTCCAGCTCTGTGGTCAGCTAGAATGAATGACTCCCTGGGGTTAATTGAGAGTGATTTTGCTGCTTGTCTCCTCCCCTCCTTTCCCAAAGTGCATCTGTGCAGGGGCAGAGTACCTGCTCCAGGGAAATGGCAGAAGGTGGGGTACTCAGCTATTTACAAAACCCCCTTTCAGAAAGGAGGAAACAATCCTGGAGAGTATTGTCACTTGCCAAGGGGTGGGAGTAAAGTGTCTCAAATTTGACCCCAGGCTGCATGACTTCTGACTGTGTTCCTGGCCACTCCTGCTAAGATTCTCAAAGAATGCCTTTCTGGGGTGCCTCAGGCCATGTTAGCAATTTGACGGGACCCCATGACTTTTTTTCCCATCTCGATAAAAATCTCATTTTGCCGCTCCTGTTGATTGGTTTTGCTGTCACATCCTCGTCCATTCCCCACATTTGCTTAATCCCTGAGAATTCCTCCATATTAGGTACAAGCCCAGGGGATGCAGAGATGGCAGTGAGTGGATGCAGTGGTCTGCCCTGGTAACTTGGCCCATGTGTCCATCTTATTAGCACCTCTCAGCCAGTAGCCTCTGCATCCTGGCTGGCCCTCTAGATGAGACTGAGGGTGCTGGTGACTGGAAATAGACCATGCTCATTCTTGCTCTTCGCCTGGTGGATGTGCTAAGCCCTGACATCTCCTCCCTCCCTCTGAGCACACTTTCCTGCATCCACCTCAGAGGTGCCAAAGTCCTTCTGGGGTTGAGCTGCCTGGGCCCACACCAGGAACCACCTGTTACCTTCAACCTTCTGAGAGCCTGTCAGTTTTGTTTCCTCTCTGCCTTGCTTAGCACCCCCATGAGCAAGAACTGAGGGTCTCCTCTAAAACCACAGGGTCCAACTTCTATACTTGCTAATCAGCCAAAGCAAATCAGATGGCTGATCATCATCTCCCCCTGAACACCCTCTGTGCAGCTCCACCTCATTGGTTCCTCATGAGCCAATGATTTGTAGAAAGTCCTGACTCTAGAATTGTCCCAAGATCAGGAACAAGGCAGTAATGTCCCCTCCCATCACTCCTTTCAACCTTGTACTAGAAGTTCTAGCTAATGTAATAAGACAAGAAAAGGAAATAAAAGGTATATAGATTGAAAAGGAAGAAATAAAACTGTCTTTGTTGGCAAATGACATAATAGTCTATGTAGAAAAGCTGAAAGAATGAACAAAAAACCCTCCTGGAACTATTAAGTGATTATAGTGAGGTTGCAGAGCACAAGGTTAATACACAAATGCCAATCATTTTCCTATATCCCAATAGTGAAATTAAAAACACATGACCATTTCCATTAGCACTCTAAAAATGAGATACTTAGGCATTAATGTATCAAAATTTGTATAAGATCCACACAAAGAAAGCTACAAAACTCTGATAAATGAAATCAAAGAATTTTGTAAAGAAATGGAGAGATAGTCCATGTTCGCAGATAGGGAGACTTAATATTGTCAAGATGTCAGTTCTTCTCAACTTGATCTATAGATCCAATGTAATCCCAACCTAAATCCCAGCAAGTTATTTTGTGGATAACAACAAAGTGATTCTAAAGTTTACACAGAGAAGCAAAAGACCCAGATAGCTGAGTCAATACTGAATGACAAGAACAGAGTCAGAGGAAGGGCATTACCCAACTTCAAGACTTACTATAAAGCTATAGTAATCGAGACAACGTGGTATTGTTGAAACAGAGAAATAAATCAATGGAAAAGAACAGAAAGCCCAGAAATAGACCCACATGAATACAGTCAACTCATTTCTGACAAAGGAGCAAAGACAGTCTTTTCAACAAATGGTGTTGGAACACCTGGACATCCACAGGCACCAAAAAAAAAAAAAAAGGAATCTAGATTTACATCTTTCACAAAAATCAAGTAAAAATGGATCTAGACCTAAATGTAAAATGCAAAACTATAAAACCCCTGGAAGATAACACAGGAGAAAACCTAGCGGGCCTTGGGCGTAGCGTTACTACACCAAAGGCAGGATCCATGAAAGAAATAACTGATAAGCTGGACTTAATAAAAATTAAAAATCTCTGCCCTGTGAAAGACAAAGTCAAGAGAATGACTGGGAGAAAATACTTGCAAAAGCACATCTCATAAAGGATTGTTGTCCAAAGTACATGGAGAACTCCTCACACTCAACAAGAGGAAAACAAACAACCTGATTAAATGGGCCAAAGACTTTAACAGACCAAAGAAGAGATACAGATGGCAAATGAGCATGTGAAAAGAGGCTCCATATATTTGTCTTCAGGGAAATTAAAACAACAATGAGATAACCACAACATATCTATTAGAACAGCCAACATCCAGAACACTAACACCACCAAATTCTGGGGGAATGTGGAGCAACAGGGACTCTCACTCATTGCTGGTGGGAATGCAAAATGGTGCAGCCACTTTGGAAGACAGGTTGGTGGTTTCTTACTGAACTACACATGCTCTTACCATATGATCCTGCAATCATGTTTCTTTGTATTTACACTTTGTCCACAAAAAACCCAGCACATTGTGGTTTAGCAGCTTTATTCATAATTGCTAAAACTTGGAAGCGATCAAAATGTCCTTCGGTAGGTGAGTGGATAAATTGTGGTCCATCCAGACAAGGGAGTATTATTTGGCACTAAAACAAAAACATCCAACCTGTCATGAAAAGACATGGAGGAACCTAAAATACATATCACCAAGTGAAAGGAGCCAGTCTGAAAAGGCTATATACTATGTGATTCCGAGTATATGACATTCTGGAACAGGCAAAACTATGGAGACAGTAAGATCAGTGGTTGCCAGGGTTTTGGGAGGAGGGTGGGAGGATGAATCAGCAGAGCATAGAGGATTTTTAAGGCAGTGAAACTGTTCTGTATTATAGTGCTGTATGATGGAGACATGTCATTATACATTTGTCGGTACCAACAGAATAATCAACACCAAGAATGAAGCCTAAGGTAAACTGTGGACTTTGGGTGATAACGATGTGTCAGTGTAGGCCAGTCGATTGGAAAAAGTGTACCAGTAGGGGATGTCAGTGGTGGGGGAGGCTGCTCATGCATGGGGGGCAGGGCTCTACGGGAGATCTTTGTACTTGCTGCTGAATTATGTTGTGAACTTCAACTGCCCTTTTAAAAAGTTTTTCAATTAACAAATGTAGTCAGGACTTCTTGGAGTGATGGAAATATTCTGTATCTTGATGGTGATGGTCTAAGCATTTGTCAAAACTCATTGAAATGATGGACTTTATTTAATACAAGTTATCTCTCAATAAGGTTGGTTTTTAAAAATAGAATTGTCCCTGGAGACTGCTTCCCTGCCAAGAGCCGGTATTTTATGAGCAACATGTCCTGTGGCTTTGGCCGCAGCCAGCTGGTTTTGGGACAAGATGGGATGGACACTGCTTCTCTCATAGCTCCGAACTTGGAGTCTGTTTATATTTTAGCACACAACCAATCAGAATCCGAAGGCTCCCAGGTGCCAACTGGAGTTCATCCCGCAGGAGGGGTGTGTGTGTGCGTGTGTGTGTTGCACCCTCCCAGAAACTGCACCTAGAGGACAGGGAGAGGGGAAGGTGGGTACCAATCTCAAGGCCAAAGAGCAGGGACCAGATGGAGATCACTCCAATTTAGTTCTGTTTGGCCAGGCTTGCTGAGCGCGGCTGGGCGGTCCCTGAGCCCAGAGCCTGTGAGGGAAGTGGGAGGGTGAGCACAACGTCCTGAAGGCACAGACAAATCCCAGGAGCAACAGTTTGTACTTGGGGTGTGGAGCATGGGATCTAGAAATCTCTCACCAGGTATATTTGAGACGGTTTTATGGCGACGGTAGGGGCTTGGCGTGGGCAGGTTTTAGCAGGTGGCAGCGCAGGAAGGGCGCCCTAGGAGGGGGGAGGCGGCAGCATGGGTGGCGGGGGCAGCGTCAGCTCTGCGTGTGTTCCGCTGTCCCTGCAGCTGTAAGGGATGGGTGGGGCCCGGACCCACTGAGCACCCCTAAGGGCAGCGGCAGCGGCTTTGCCTTTGCTAGTTTATTCCGAAGAGCTGACACTTGAGCCTGCAGAGCGCACCCACATGTGTGACCATGAGAGTCCCAGAGCTTTGCCTTAGGAAGACTACCGGGTGGGGGTGCTGCTGCCAGGACCCATGGAAGCGGGGACCCCCACACCTGCACAGTCTGCAGGTTACGGACAAGAAGCAACCCCGAGAACAGATGAAGGGGGCAGACCCACGGGCCACTTCAGAGGCAGACTACAATTCTCGAGCACAGGTCAGATGTGAGCTGCGAAGGGGAGGGCAGAAGGAACTTTCTAGAACTCTCAGCCCTGGTGACTTGGTAGAGTAATTAATAATGATAACCATACAGGTGTATTACCGAGTGCCTCTGTGAGCCAGAGATGCTGTAGACTAAAGAGTGTTTAACAATTTTTTTAAGGGGGACGCCTGGGTGGCTCAGTCTGTTAAGTGTCTGCCTTCGGCTCGGGTCATGATCCCAGGGTCCTGGGATGGAGTCCCACATCTGGCTCCTTGCTCAGCAGGGAGCCTGCTTCTCCCTCTGCCTGCCGCTCCCCCTGCTTGGGCTCTCTCTCTCTCTTTCTCTCTGACAAATAAAAAACAAACAAAAAAAAACACAATTTTTTTAAGGATTTTATTTATTTATTTGAGACCGAGAGATACAGAGAGAGAGAGCATGAGCAGGGGGCGGGGGCAGAGGGAGAAGCAGGCTTCCCGCTGAGCCAGGAGCCTGATGTGGGGCTCAATCCCAGGACCCTGGGATCATGACCTGAGCCGAAGGCAGATGCTTAACCATCTGAGCCTCCCAGGCGCCCCTAAAGAGTGTTTAGATACAGAATTCTAATTTCAGTCTTCACGAATCTCCCAGGAGGAGGTGATGAAGAAACAAAGTCTCACTGCGGACACATGACCTGCCCAAGGTGTCCAGGCAGGACTGAAGGCCAGAGCTGCCCCCTCGTGTCGGTGGGCTCCTGATTCGGTAGGTGGGATGGGGCCGGGTGTGTGGCAAGGCGGATGCGCCTGTATGCAGAGAGCTGTGACAATCCCCAGGAGGCCCCAGCCCGGAGCTTGGGGAAGGGACGTGGGGCTCAGGGGCTGGCAGGTGCTGGAACAAGAGGAACGGGGTCATCTGTGTGCAGGCAGGTGGGTGCTGGGTGGATGTGACCCGGGTGGGGAAAGTCGTGAGGAGGGATAGGGGAGGCCTGCAGGGGGAATTTTAAGGAGATATAAAAACACGGATTAATTCCTGGACACTAGGACCCCTCTGTTACCTCCCTGTCCCCCAGTCTCACCACACTGTCCTCTCTTTTCTCTCTTTCTCAAACTGCCAGCCTCCTTAATTTCCTTAAATAAGCTATGGTTTACATAGAAACTTTATCTATGAAGCCCGGGCACAAAAACCACACCTAGATTTTTTTCTTTTAAAAACAACCCAAACCCAAGCGAAGTTGGAGCTCTGATTTATAAGCTCACGTCTCCTGGCACACTGGAATGGTACCATTGGGGGTGAGCATACTGGGTGAGTGTGGACCATGCTCCCTAGAGTCTGCTCGGCCACAGCTCACCCCCTGTGTTCAGGGACCATGAGAGGGAAGCCTTCATTTCCTTCCTCAACAAGGACCCAGAGCTGGTGAGTGTAGGGGATCAGGTGGCAGGTACAGGCCAGGAGGGAGTCGGAAGTTGGTGGGGGTAGTTAGTATCAGTTTTGTTATTCATCTGTTACTCCCCCCTGTGCCAGGACCATCTCAATACTCTTTGGAGTCTTCAACTTTCTTGGCTAGTTAATTCAAGAAATCTGTCCGTGCTGAAATTTGGATGGGGCATAAGCAGAAGTCAGATGAGGTTCACAGGGTAAGGAGCACAAGGTGAGAAGCAGCTTAGCTGTAGCCTGCCAATCACCCAACTCCTGGGTCTCCATGGGACCTGGTCTCTCCAGCGCCTGCCCGAGGGGACTCAGAAGCAGTTATGGGGAAAACTGTCCCTGTGAGCTAAGGGCGTTCCTTACTTAGGGTCTGGAGGCCCCTTTGGCTCTCCATTGTTCCCCTTCCAGCAAGATCTCAGGTTCCCCGATGCTGAAAACCTGGAGCCATGCTGGGGCCGGAGGAAGCTGGCAGAGCGTCTTGGCCAGCTCAGCAGCTCGGGCTCCCCAGTCCTTGATTCGATTTCTGTGCAGAGACTGATTACACTTGACTGGTTGCCAAACATCCTATTTTGGTTACTGTGCTCATAAGACTGAGCTGTGATAACAAGGATGCCTTCTTTTCACACCAACTGAGTCATGAATACGGATCTGATACAGATATTTTTGGTGTGGGTCAGAATTTTGCTCTAAATGTTCTCTTTTCTTCCTTTTTAAAACCAGAAGGAGATGTGAATGGCAGCCACTGAAACCTCCCCCAAAGAGGGTCGTGGACAGCTTTGGTTTTGGTCGTGGACAGCTTTTGGTTTTGGTTTTGGTCTGCGTTTCCCACTTCCCCTGCGGGGAGGGAGTCTGGAAAAGCCTTCTCTCCCCTCCTCGCCCCTTGCTCAAACACAAACTTTCCACAGAACTCTTCATGCGCTAAATGTTCCCCGATGCTGTAAATCCCAGTTCTGTGACATTGATTGAAAAACATGAAATCAATCACAACATTTATTAAGTATGTAAAATGTTGTACAACACCAGGCTTTCAGCTTACACACTGAGGAGTAAGCTGCATTAAATTAATAACTTCTGAGACCTTGGGGCCCCAAAATAGCCAGCAGAGAGGCCCCGGGTGAAGAGCAAATGAGTCAACGTGATCCGTTATTTGTCGTTCACAATTTAAACAAACCGCTTGATAATGTGAACATCTCAGTTAAGATGGGACGAGCCTCTCAATTACAGGTGGAGTTATTAGTTTGCGCCAGGCCTGATCTCGGAATGCTTCAGCAGTTACAGGTGACACTTGGTTCTGGGAAAAGGAAGCTCTGTAAGTGAAGATGCTAGCCCAGGGAGGGCAGGTCCAGAAGGCGATCCTCTGGCCGTGCGCCCACACGAGCCCGGGGCTGGAGCGGCTGCCCCCCAGCGACGAAGCCCTCAAACGTCTGCCTTGGTGGGGGTGGGTGCTCAACACATTCTCGGGGTGGGGGGGGGACCGAGCAGCTTAGACTGTTCTGGGCAAGTGTTTTGGAAAGTCTTATGTGCCTTTTTTAGTCTTATTTTTACAGAAGCAGGTTGTTATTGGCAACCATCGACAAGATGACTAAATGAATCAATGATGCGGGCGTTGTGCGGCCCGGTCTGGAACAAGGACCCGGTGTGTTTCCATTTCTGTATTTGGCAGTCAACCTCCATGCCCTCAGTGTGCGTGAACGCTGGGGACCGGCCCCCGCCCCACCGGCCACTGGGATGGAGGAAGGAGGACCGCTCCCACGGACCGTTACCGTGAGGGCTCCGGCATCGAAATGTTAGCCAAATGCACCTTTTCTCGTCCTCTCCCCTCTCCAGTTAAGGACACCAAATGTCAACTGCTCTTACGTGACCTCAAGCTCAGCTTGGCAACAGTATGTGCTCTGGGCAGAATCGCATGCAGAGGGCCCTCCAAGAGCTTAATAAGCAATCCTTCCTCGGCTTCCAGAGCTCTCTCCCAGCGGAGGGGAGAATAGGCCAGTGCTCACCCTGCAGGAGGAGGGCTGGTGTTCCAACTCCTGGGCTGTCTTTCTCCAGGAAGGGCTGTGGGACCCAAAGACACTCTGTTCCCTCTGGTCCAGATATGGCAGGGACGAGCATCATTCATGCAGGACCCCTGGAGCAGCCCCTCTGGGTCCCCTGGGCCTCTGTCAGGCATCTGGTATCTTCACCAGGAGACAAGACTTTTCCAAAGCTGACTTGTTCTCCTGGGCAAGGGAACATGGCGCAAAATGCCAGAATTTGGATTAGCAACTGGGGACGAACAGCTAGGTGTCTCCAAGTGAGGGAAGAAGCCCCTTCCTGCCTGCCTCCAATCGCACGGTATGATAGCCTGATCTAGACTTTCCTTGGTCTTCTTTGGGTCATGAATGCCTTTGCGGAACTGGTGAAAGCCACTGCCCCTGGAGTGCTGCCCCTGGGCAGACTTACAGGAGTCTGCTGCTAAGTCCGCAGCACCTCCAGAGCACACCTTGGACTGTTCCGGGACAGCCTGTGTGACGGAACTTTCTGTGCTGTCCAACACGTAGCCACCAGCCACATGTGGCTACAAGCCCTGGGAATGTGGCCACCGCAGCTGAGAACTGCACTTTCTAGTCCTGTTTAGTTCTCATTAATTTCTAGTATTTGACCAGCCACAGGTGCCCAATGGCTACTGCACTGGAGAACAGTCCGTTAGAGGACTCTGGGATTCAATTCAGGGATTTTTGGCAAGTCAAAACTTCCAATGGACCTCTTTCGCTTGCATTTATTTGCACATTGAGCTTGACTCCTTTCCACCTAGGGTCTGGGAGCAGGTGGGTTCAGCAAAGGTGTCTGGAGAACGTCAGGGCTGGTGCAACCAGCTGGTGCTGGTGTTCTGTGTGTCAGCTGGCCCTCAGGTGCGTGGCCATCATGCCTGGGCCCTTACAACCTGTTATGGACTTGTAGAACCAGCTCACGTACGTTTTTCATGTACATGACAACAGTCAGACATTCTAGGAAGCCTCAAGTTTTCCCTGATAACAGTGACACTTAATCAAATAGGGCAAGATCTTTTGAGAATGATGCGAGTGTTTTTGTTCTCCCAGGAGATACCTTTTGGGGGGGCTTCATGGAGGAAGGGAGGGGCTTCTCACATGAGTTTGCTTAGGAAATATAAATATCTTTGAAGAAAAAAAAATATTTAAGGGGAACACCTCCTGACCACGTCCTGCTCTAGCAGCTTGCTACCTAGACGCCACGAGATGGAAGGCACAGTGGATGGAGCAGAGGCACTCCTGGTGGGTCAGGCGTCGCTGGTACATGCCAGACGGTGCGTCTGACCCTGGGTAGACAGAGCGCTCAACGCAGGGCATTGTTTCCACGTCTCTGCTCTTGAGCCTGATGCAAAAAGACACCTGGCTGTGACCTTCCTTGGGGCCATTCCTGTTGCCTGAGCCCCACCAGCCCTTACACTGCCACCTCCATGCTGAATTCCAATACCTAGACCTTGGGTTCCTCCATGGCCCAGCTGGACCCAAACTGACACCACCAGGGGGCCAGAGCCTTACGATAGAGTCAGAATACGTCCACCTTTATCACGGATGAGTCTGTCTAGGGAAAGAGCAGATACCACCTGATGGCCACCCTCCAAGCACATCCCTGTGTTGCCAGCACTGGGCAGCCCCTTTTCCTGCTCTGGGCTTATTCAGGTTCCTCTGTGCAAGTGACACCTTGATTCTGCCTTCTCTGTATGAAGAAAGGTGGAGTCCTGGCAGACATGGTGAGAAGATGAGCCTTACATGGGAGAGGAGGTTTAGGAGGCATTAGTCAGAGGGGCTTAGAGGGACCTGGGCCCAGTAGGAGCCCCTCCCTCGTGGTTGGGGGAAGGGTTGAGTAACTGACCTGTGAAAGTGCTCAGCCCAGCCATGCGTGGAGAAGACACTCATCGGACCTGGGCCGCCATGTTTATCCCTTCTTTCTTCTTCATTCCCCTCACCTTCTGAATCTGCACTGGAACAATCCCTTCACAACAGACACCTGCCCAACACTGGTAGTGAGCTTTCTTCTTGTGCCTATTAGTTTACTTCATCATGGCAAAGTTCCTTGGGTCCTCTTGCCTCTTGTTGCAGGGGAAATATGGGACCCCATTGGCATCCTCTTTGGGAGAAGGGAGCCCTGCTTGAGGAGAAGGTGGACTAGAAGATGGTGGAAGCTGGTGTGACTTAAATTCAAAATTTAATCACCTAATTTTGTTATAATAAGCTAGATCTTCTTAGTTCAAGTGACTGACCATTGGCCATTTGTGTGTGGACTTAGTCACCTGTTGCTGATACTCTACTGGGGCATCTAAGAGATGTGAGGTGACAGAGAGGGTACTGTTGACATTGGCAGGATGAGCTTTGTCTCTCCCTTTCCTTTCCCTTGAGGACTCCATAACTTGGCCAGGGAGCCAAGATTTTAGTGCAAGAGACAAATATAGTAGGATGCCAACGGTATGGTAGGGGTAGAATCCCCTTTCCCAGCCCATGGTGGGCACCCTGTCCTTGAAGCATCCATGCATGGCTGGAGCATGGCATCAGGAATGACGCCCTCATAGGGAAGTTGCACCCAGCAATGGAGGTCAGCTCTGGTCCCAGCACCAGGGCCCCATCCAATGGTTCTGGTTCTTGGGGGTGCTTTATAATTTCTAAGATTCTGGATCTTAAACTGACCTTTCTTTTGCTTTGAAATTTTGTCCAGTTTGGTGTTTACATGGCATGAATGGGATATGAAAATCTCCTGCAATTATAGACTCTAATAAAGAGAAAAAGGAGATTAAAAAAATCCTTCCTCAAAAAGGGGGAGCATAACTTCCCACCCTTGAAGTATGACTGTACATAGTGATTTCCTTCCAAAGAGGATGGTGTGGAGACAGGGACAAAAGAGGAACTTTACAGTGGAGAAGGCTGATGAATACTCCTAAGCCAGGTATTGAGGTTGACATCAACAGGGATAAGTCATGTTGGTTGTAGGGACCCTTGATGTGATGAGAAGGGAACTTTGCCTCTGGGGTGTTCCTTCTAAAACCCATAACCCCGAATGAATTGTGAGAAAAACATCAGACAAATCCTATAGAGGAATGCTCCACAAAATACGTGACCACGACTCCTAAAAATTATCAGGATCATCAAAAACAAGGGAGGTCTGAGAAACTGTCACAGCCAAGAGGAGCCTAAGGAAACATGATGCCTAAAAGCCATGTGGTGTCCCAGATGGGGTCCTGAGACAGAGAAAGGACGTTTGGCAAGGAAATTCAAATAGAGTGTATGCTTTAGTTAATAATAATGCATCGATGTGGGTTCATTAATTGTTACAAATGCACACTAAGGTAAGATACTAATAATTGGAGAAACCGGGTGTAGGTTATATGGGAGTTCTCTGAACCATTTTTGCACTTTTTCTGCAAATCTAAAGCTGTTCTAAAATGACAAGTTTATTAAAAAACATTTCCCTTCTTCTATCTAGAGTAGTCAAAATCACGGAGATGAAAGTAGAGGGTGAGCACCAAGGGCTGGCGCAGGTGGGGAGTTAGTGTTTAATGGGGACAGAGGTTCGGTTTGGGAGGATGGAGATGTTCTGGAGATGGATGGTGGGGATAGATGCACAACCGTGAATGTACTTACATGAACTGTATGCTTAAAAATGATTAAGAGGCCATATTGTAGGTTATGTGCATTTTACCACAATTAGGAAAAAAATTTAAATTCCCTTCTTCATCTTCTTCCCACAGTGTGTATTGTGGTGTGGCCTGGAAACCTGCTTACACCTGCTCTCCAGACTCTGGCCTCCTTGTGGATGGTCTAACTCAAGGACAAGACTCTACACACACCACCTCTCCCATGACGATAGCCTGTGTTGACCAGATGTCTCTGCTCCACCCTCTCTGTGTTCTTGACATCCCCATGGGCTCGGCATGAGCAGGGCTGCTGTCTGGCCAGTTTCACAGACACTCAGTGTCCTGAGGTGCATCCAGTGGGGGCTCTGGAGCCTCCCTTTGAACACAGTCTGGGAGGACTGATCGGGGAGGCCTTTGTGAACATCTAAGATTCCTCCATGAGTGCTTGTTAACTGGAGGGACGTGTGATGGTTGATTAGTCCCGTGTGCTAGGCTTTACCACCCTGGATGGGAGAACTCCCAGATGCCCTCACATCCTTGCCCTTCCCCGCTTTCTCCCGGTGACTTACTTTCATCCGTTAGTGTCCCCCTGCTGCCTTTCCCTCCGGGTGACAGTTATCCACTCTGCTCTGGCAGATTGCCCCTGTGCATGATAAATAGTCGTCATTTTCTTTTCAAGAGTCCCACAGCCAATAAAAAGCAATAAAAAGCGAAATGACACACAAATCGTATCCCCAAAGAGCCATGAAGGTCTAAGATATTGCCGCATGTGATGATCAGATGAGATTCTTTGCTTTTAAACAAATAACCCTCGCTAACAAAGAAGACTATTCAAATGAGGAAGGGGCGGGGTCTTCGGGAAAGGTGGAGAGGGTGGGCTGGTCCGGGCTCACCCCAGGAGCTAGGGTCTCTGAATGCTGTTAGAGTGATCCAGAAAGCTTCCTTCAGCATGATGGAGGAGGCTTCCAATGAGTGGCTGGCTTGGAGGGGTCTGAAAGGCTGGCTGTGCATCTAGAGAGGGGCTGGGTGATGGCACAGCGAGGCATAGGGTGCGGTGCTCCAGGGAACAGGGAGCGCACAGGGGTTGGGATGTGCTGAGCGGGGTCGCCAAGGCTCATTTCAAATGTGAGCAATATTTTGCATTTGACTCTTCCCAAAATGCTTTTCTAGAATGACTCTGTGTGTTGACGCTGGAGGAGTCACCTCCAATCTTGATGGGAAAGCAAGCAGGAGCTAGGACACAGTGTCAGCCCCCAGATGATCCCCTGAAGCGCAGACGCTATTGCTGCCTCTGGTGCACAGTCCCCTCCCCGGAATCTCATTTCCCGTGCGCCGTCATCCCCAGAGTGGTGACCGTCACATTTGTGCCATCAGAGTGACCTTGTTCCGAGCCCATCGCTCACGCCTGTGCTCACATGGACGGCTGGCTGGGTCTCATCCATCAGGGCTGTGGTCTGGGCTGACAAGTCCGGCTTCCCAAGAGCTGCCGAATGAGCTCTTCCTTCTGCCCAGCTGGGCACACGAGGAGCAGGGCCGCAGGAGGGAACCCACTGGGCGTCATTGGGAGGAAAGGCCAATCCTAAACCAAAACCCCAAAGACAAGCACCAGAGCCTGCTCATAAGGGAATCACAGCCACGGTTCTCTACCTCCTGCACCTCTGCCTTCCTTCCGGTCCAGGTGTGCGGTCACCTGTGGCGTGAGCCCTGCATCCGGAGGATGCTTCCGTCCAGGCACATCCACATAACCTCTTAAGTCAGGAAGGGGGCCTGGGCCGTTTTAAAGCTCCAACCAGGGTTGGAACAGAAAGGCATCCTGGCATTTTGACCCTAGGGACCCACTTTGCCAGCCCCCCCACCCGCCCCCCAAACCCGGCGCTCTTGTTGAAGTGCCCGGAGAGGAGCCAGGAAAAACGGCTCAGGTGTCACTGCTGTGTGAGAAACTTGGTGATCTCTAGTGTCTCTGCCTTAGTTGCAAACGCTGGAATCCCCGACGTGTGCCAGGCCCCCGAGAGCATTCCAGCCCAGAGTGTCAGGGCAGATGTGAGGAGTGTGAGCACAGAATGAGGTGGGAACAGTGGGAACAGCTGCCAGGTCTCGGCGTGGCTGTGGGGCGGGGGTGGGCACGCCGGGAGCGGGCATCAGCTGCGGGTGTGGGCACGGGGCCGGTGCGGCCGGCAGAATGGCAGACCAGCTGCGTCTCCCACCCGCACTGGTCCTTTGTGATACGGGCTCGGCTGCCCTCCCTCTCTCATACTCATTCATTCATTCAACAAATGTGTGCGTATCTCGGTAATGTTTCCTACCTGATTTAAATTACCAGGTACTGTTGTATCACTGGTGGGCGTGTGAGGAGATGAGAACGGAGGCTTTACAGAAGCGGGCAGAATGAGAGGAGGCCATCAGTCCACAAAGGGGCAGAAGTCGACCGTGTATCGAGGGACTGTCGTGTGCCCTGCATTCTCACAGGTACGCGGCGCGCGGTGTGGGGTGTTAGCCTGCGCTCTGTGCGGGGCGTGTTATTTCTTCCCATTGGCAGGTGGTGGACAGGAAGATGTGAGCGGCTGAATGACAGGCCCACTGTCAGGACTCGAACCCTGGGCTGTCTGACTTCGGTCCTCCCAGAGGCTCCCATTACCAAGAGGCTGCCTCTGTGCCCTGAAACAAGCCGTGCTCCAGGATGTGGGCGGGGCCAAAAGAGCCCCCCTGGAGCTGGACACGGGCTTCGTGGGGCCTTCCTGACTCACACAGTACGAGCCAGAGCCGAGAGGATGGCGCGGGTTTCACCAGCAGGAGAGCAAGTGGGAAGGGAATTGCTGGCGGATAGAGCAGGGCTGGGGGAAGTGTTGGCCATCTTCCTGAATAGCAAGTGGCCTGGGGTCCACCCCCACGTGCGGGAAGAACAGAGAGTAAGTCGGAAGGGCAGCAGGGGTTCGGATGCCCTCTGGGGAGCCGGCGGTGGCTCAGCAGACAGCGGATTGCCCCGGCGTACCCATGCTATGAATGTTTCTAGGAGGCAGGTGAGGCTCAGGGCTGCACGGTCAGAGAGACCCTGCCGGAGCCTGCTGCCCTGTTCTCTGCTCACTCACACACAGAGCTTCCCACGAGGCCAGAGTCCTTCCTGAGCCAGGGCTGTGCACTGGCTATCTCCCTACCCCGTGTTCTTCCCCGACTCTTACGCGGCTGACCCCTTCCCACCTTTCAGGTCCCACCTAAGGACTTCCCTGCCCTCCCCAGCCTAAGGTCCCGCCTTCCCGTTCTCCGCCAGAGCAGGCTTTTTACTTCACCTGTGTTGGAGCCGACAGGTACCTCGCTACTGTTTTAACTCCCGTCCCTTGATGCCTAGTGATGCTGAGATTCTGGGCTCGTGTTCATCAGCCGCCTGGGCACCCCCTCCTGCCGGGGCTTGTCTGCTGACAGCCTGGGATCATTTTGCCATTTGGCAACTCTCGCACGATTTGTGGGAGCTCCTCATGTATGATGAAAACCATCAGTTTGACCTACAATCACCCGTATCGCCTCCCAGAAGCCGTTCTTTTCCTTGGGATGTCTTTTGCCTGTGGTCACCTGTTGCACAGAGGTTATAATTTGATAGAGTCAGTGGGTGAATTTCCCTGAGGGACATCTACTCTGGTGCTGTTTAAGGCATGCTCTCCTGCGCTGCTCAACAAGGGAGTCTGTAATTCCTTCCACTTGCCTTCAGGTTTCCACGTTGGTTCCCAACTCCGTGCGGAGTTCACTTCTGTACGTGACGGGAACATCTACTTGTGTTTTCCTTTCCTATAGGTAGACAGTTGTCCCCACACAACTGATGGAGTGTCCCCACTATTTCTAATGCCTCCTCTCTCCGTTAAGGTGAAGACCTTCCGTGAGAAATGCAACGCCCCAAGAGGAGGGGCTGAAGCAAATGGAAGTGTACAAGTTGGGAGCCAGCCTCTCCCAGGCTGGTCTGGCGGTCTGACTCCAAGAGCGCAACTCCTCCAACCATAAGGCATGCTCCTCGCCCTCCTGGTCCCAGATGGAACCTCCACCACCCGTCCAGGTTCCAAATGGCATGATGGAAGAAAAGTGGGAAAAGAGGGTGAAGGGAATGCGTCCTGTACTCTAAGCCGCTATCCGGAGTTTCGGTTTTATCCATTGGCCAGACGTCAGGAGTTGGAAATTCCAAGTAGCCATGTTCCCAGACGGAACCTGGGTCTTCTGCGATGGGGTAACCAGATAGTGGAGCCTTTTCTATCTTATGCTAGAATTGCATAGCTGCATACATACTTCTGGGCTTTTTATTCTGTTCTCTAGATCTCATTGCCTGTCCAAACACGAGAGCCTCTTAATCACTGTGGGTAAATCTTGATACCTGCTAAGGTTTTGTTAATTTCCTGCTGCATCATCATGGTTATTCTCTGACTTTTATTCTTCCAAACAAATGTTGTAAGAATCCGTTTATCACGCACAACGAAACTCCCAATTGTGAATTTTATTGGGTTTCATTAAAATTATAGATTAATTTGAGAAAGTGCTGACTTCTTTAGGATATGCTCTTTCTTTTTTTTTTTTTTAAGATTTGATTTATTTATTTGACACAGAGAGAGGGAAAGAGAGAAAGAGCACAAGCAGGGGGAGCGGCAGGCAGAGGGAGAAGCAGGCTTCCCGCATGAGCATGGAGCCCGATGCGGGGCTCGATCCGAGGACTCTGGAATCATGACCTGAGCTGAAGGCAGTGGTTTAACCAACAGAGCCACCCAGGCGCCCCGAGGATATGCTCTTTCTACCTGTGGCCACAGTGACCTGCTTCATCTACTCAGGCCTTCTGCCAGACCCTTCAGTAATATCACATAAACGTCTTTTCCAGCTCACCTTTTCTTATATTTATTCCTAGGTACCTTGCAGTTTCTGTGGCTTTGGTACTTTTTTTTTTCTATTACATTTTCTGATGGGATTTTTCTAACACAGAGAACTACTTTGGGTTTTTGCATATTGATTTTGAATCCAGAAAGTACCCTAAATCCCCTTATTAGTTCTATCTACTAGGTTGGCGGTAGAGTCTTGGAATTTCTCTGTAGACAGTCTCTTCCTCTGCAAACAATGGCAGTTTTGCTGTTTCCTTCCCGATCCTCGTACCTCGGTTCTGTTTTTCAAATGCAGTTATGACATAACCTCCTTTTTTTTTTTTTTAAATCACGTAGAGGATGTTTCTTCTGTTCTGGATTTACTAGGAGGTTTCTAGTTTGTTGTTGTTTTGTTTTGCTTTGTTTGTTTTTATACCTGCACTTGATGCTGAATTCTGCAGGGTGGGGTGGAGGTAGGAGGCACTGCCTGACCCTGGCCACCTGTTTCCCTGCTGAGTCAGAACCCCTCCCATTCCCCACCCCCTCCCCGCTCCAGTAACAGTCCTAGACTCTTACCTGAGCTGTGTCTTATTTCCCTGAATAAATCAGCCCACTTGACTGCAAGGTACCCTTTGTTACTACATTGTGAGATTTAATTTTCAAATATTTAATCTAAGATTTTTGCAACTATGTTCTTTGTGAGGCCAGCCTGTAATTTTCTTTTCTCATAATGCCCTTGCTCAGCTTTGATATCGAATTATATTGGTGTCAAAAAATGAGTCATGTGTTTTATTTGCTTCATGTATTTGCTGGAACAATTTGTGGAACTCTCGCTTAAAAGCCACCAGATCCTGTGTGCGAGTGATTTTTACAATTTTTATATAGTAAACAC